CCATTGAGATAGTAAATAAATTACGCTTGTCCTCTTCAATGAGGAATGTATACAGATCTTAAATCGAATCGATACGGTGGCACGAGTGCGCTGCGGAAATGTGGAATAAAAAGCTGAGGACAGTGACGCGTGCTATGGAAAATTCATATTTTTAGATAATTAAACTGGAGAATGAAGTAACTCCGGTATCTCTGTACATTGTCTTAGAAGAATGGCTGTGCTACATTTTGAAGCATCTGTTTAGTTTCGTGACGCAATTTGGAAGCATTTCCGTAGCGTCGGTCATTTTTTATGTAAATTGTTTCGGAACAAATTGATAAGCTCTAATTGATATTACGATAAGTAGAAAACTGCATTTGTTAAACCGGTGCTGTTCCATGACACGGAGGTGCTGGGTCTTCGCTTCTGTGTTGTAAAAACGAGTCCGTAGCAATATTGATTAATCGTGAAATGTAAACAATTAGAATGTCACTACTTACAGTGTCATTGGATTAAAAAATGTATCTAATGTATCAGTTTAACAAAATTAAGGCCAAAAGTTTGACTGAATTCAGCACGTCAAGTATTTAAACTTGAAAAGTTTTAAGATGAACGTCGCGAACTTTTACGTTAATTATATAGTGAAATTTCCTTCTTTGTACATATGTAACCTGGTTACATGTATCACGGTCTAAGAGTGCCTTTATTCGATTTTAATTTAGTCCGATTAAGTGAAAAAGTGTTGTAGTAATGGAATATAAAAATTGAACAAATAGATCTCAGTCTTCTGGTTTGTAGCAGATTCTAAGTAATTTTGAAGAAGACTTAAACAAACTCGCTGTATGCTAAATGTTGACACATTTAGATCATTGATCTGCAGCTGTTAATTGAAGAGTATTTATGTTTGCCAACAATAGTTCTCTTCACATTGTTAGGATTAATACTTGGAATGGAATGATTCAACTTTTAACATCTCCTTTACTAAACGTTCAGTCTTGTTTAGCTGTAGCAGTCTATTTTTGTAAGGAGAGTAATTCTCTCAAACAAGTTAATATATGTTATATATGTCATGATACACACATAAAATATCTTGTTTCTTCACGATACATAATAGTTCAAAGAGAAGCCTGTACATTTTACGATACATTTAGATAGTACAGCGAAATGTACAAAGAAAATTATGACCAAGTTCATGTGAAAAGTTATATAGATTCATTGTTAAAAGAAAGTGTTTAATATTTCACGAACAATTCTTAATAATTAACTGGATGTCTATTTGAATGAAATTTTCAAAGCGTTGTTTTTACCATGACGGAATACGAATGTTGTCTAATTTGCAAGAAAATGGAGTGAACTATTTAACTGAACGTAAATTTCTATGCTTCCAATGATGTAATACTTGATAATATACGAACAGCTTCCAATGAAGTACTAAATCTTTATGCGATTCGTTAAAAAAGAAGAAACAAAATTTCTAATCCTATCATTTCCATAAAACAGTCCAAGGGATTTGAAAATTTCCATGCAAATATTTCCAGTCAATGTTAGAGCATACCTTCTGCAATTAAAGTTTCATATGTGTGATGCGAAATGAATGTTACAACGCAATCGTCTGTACGCCTTTAGACTGAACTGTAAGACGATTTACATCGACGAGTCTCGTTTTAGTTTCTGATGACCTGTTCGACGTAACTTGTACTTGTGATCATGGTCATTGATCTACTAATATAGATATATATTTAAAAATATAGATGTGTATATTTATATATACACATGTATATTCTTAACCAAAGTTGTTAAAACCATATCAAGTCATGGCACGCTTGCTCATGTGGGAGTTAAATCATGAAAACAGTAAAAAAGAAAAATATCTAAAGTGCTTTTAACGGCGCAGCTGGTTGGCTAACGATCATTTAGAAGTCCGAGTGATTTTTATATTTATTTAATTAATTTAACATGTGTAAATGTCTCATACACCAGATATATTGTTCTTAATAAATTCTCACATTTACTAAATCTTGATTTCCTTTTGTTCCCGTGATCTCATAGTAATTCTAATATTTTATTTTGTTCTTTTCTTTTCTTATTTCGTATCATATTAATTAATCACAATGAATTGGTTCGTAATTATTGACAAATGTTTAGACTTTTCTTCCTTCCTCATAAAATAACAGAATAATGGTGAACGGAAGTTACTGACTGAGCAGATTTGCGCTTAAAAATAGAAACAGGTATTAATCATGTTATCATTATAATGCACACTGTATTTTTTTAATAATTCAAATAAAATAAAAATGGCAATGTCAGTAGACCAATCACGGCGTAAAGAATATTTGTGACGTTAGAATGGTAATTTTAATGAATTGCAGCTATTTGTTTTCTGTTTATTTTCAAAATGATTTTAACCCTCTTGTTGTTGTATATAGCTTAACGTCATCGAAGATTAAATGAACAGAACGTCTTCGTTGTAAGAAGAACATCTGTAGTAATAGTTTGGCAAGTTTAGTGGAATTTTCCTTTTGGTAAGGATTAAGTTATCGATCCGGTAGGAAAATATCGGTTTTAACAGTGGGAGGCTAGGAGATCAATGGGCGATGCGAAAGGTGGAGTATAATTCCACGATTAGACTACGTGCGTAATGTCGAATGCAAATTTTAATCTTTTATAAGATAGCAAGGAAGCGATATGTAATCTGCAGAAAATTATGCGTATTATATACGTTCACACGTTATTACAATTATTGTTATTCTTACCACATTTTGTAATTAACATTTTCAACCTTAGGACTGTGAGACAAGTTAGTAAGATAAGTTAAAGTTAAATAGTATTATAAAGAAAAGAGATAATAGTTAGTTTCATTAAACGTGTAAACTAAATATTTTATTAATATTAACTAATGTAAAGATGATGCTATATATTTATAAACTGGTGAACCATTGATATTTGTAAATAATTACCCGAGTTATTAATAATATTTAAGTACGGAATATTCTACCTTATGTTGCCATATGTAAAATTAGTCGAAAGCAGTTGTTAATTGAGAACAAAAAATTTTCCACTGTTCCAATGGTAATGGGAACTTTACTTTTGCAAGCTACAGGTGTCAAGAGTAATTAACAGTTTCTGTAACGAGTGTAAAGTACCCGGTTGTATATACAATGCCATATAAAATCTAATATGACGTTTTTGTGTTAATGGCACTAACTAGGTGAAATCATCAATGTTAATTTTTCATGTAATTGAAATTTGTTATGTTGTATATTACACATCTCTTAATAATATTCAAATCTTATTCGCGCATGATAGAAGATGGACGTATGCTTCGAATAAATATTCATGCCATTTAAAATGCAGCTGCGCGTATTATGAGAAAATTGTATGCTTTCTAATGGAGAGGGTCCGATACTTTGTATCAAGCTAATCAGCTCAAAAAGGACTGTGAAATATAATAAAGATTGTATGGTTTCTAATGGAGAGGGCCCGATACTTCGTATCAAGCTAATCAGCTCAAAAAGGACTGTGAAATATAATAAACGTAAATATTTCTTTTATTATATTTTAAAACTCGCATTTTCCACAGAAAAATGTCGATGGACATCTTCATTTAATAAAGCACATTTAATAAACGTGATTCGAAGAGAGAAGATTGTCCACAATCCTTGAAAGATTCCCCTGAAAAATTGATCTATTATGCATCGATAATAGCAGTTCATATTTTCTTAAGCACCTCGCTATTTCGTATTCACAGTTTGATAGATAACAACTCGGGCATTATCATCAATTTGCAAATAGGATCGTAAGCGGTAGCACACTTATTCGTCAGGTACCGAAACACGACTGTCTATCACGCTAGGTGTAACAATCACGAAGTTGCGAGAGGGGGGCAATAATCGCATGTATCCGTTTACGAAACAACTCCGACAAATGTGCTCAGAGGTGGAGGAACTAGACGTACATCGGTACTCGCTTTCGTTGATCGTTCAGTGTCTCACAACAGTTCGGAGAAGGATCATTCCTCTCTCTTCCAGCTTTCTTCAATCGTCGAATCGAAGAAAACGGAAGAAGACACTTTATTACTTCGTGAGACACCCTCCAGAACAGAGGACAAACACACGTGACATTTTTATTCTCACACCGAAGATACCGTTGTTTTTTTTTTTTTTTTTTTTTTTTTTTTTTCATTTTTGGAGTAAAATTTCAAGGACCTTTGTGAGAAATAGAAGACCACAGAAAATTGGTGAAGCAAAGAAAGAGGGGAGATGAGACTTTGAGATTTGAACGTTTAGAACGGTGGAATGGAAAGCAAACTGGCGCAAAGGACTCATAAATGACCCGTTGTCTTGCTATCGCTTATTTTCCAATTGTTTGATATACCTTGCGGGATTATTTCATTGTTCGCTTATTTACGGTATTTCGAGAACATTCGAGGGAGAACAGAGAACAAAAAGGATAAGATCGAGCCTTGATATTGGTAGAAAGTAAAAAGAAGTTTGTATTCGGTGTCAATGAAGACGAGAACTGAATAGACTAGACCACTTCAATTGATAATCAACTCCTGAAGCATCTCAATCGATGAAGAAGAAACAATTGTGGACAATTAAGGTTTCGTTGTTGATCGATCAATGGCTAGTGTAATAGCATTTTGAAGAAGTTTGGATAATAAAGAGAAGGGTAAAAAGAAACATAACTGGAATGGCGCGAGCCAGGTGAAAGGATTCAAAGACATTCGATATCCTTGCTGGCCCGATTTCTGGTCTTCTTTTGGAGTTGTCAATGTAGCGAAGCAAGTTTACTATTTGGGAAGAAGCAGTGAGAAGTCGATAGCTTCTGAACGCTATCGAGAAAGTAACGAAGAAGGAAGAAATATTCCGAAGAATGGTGATTGCTTTGAAAAGAAATACGTTTCATCACTTTGTATTCGTGAATTGAAATTTAGGAGACATCCATTCAGTGAATGCTTCGAAAGAGGAAGCACTCATACTCGATAAGTATCGAATAAGGAAGAAGGTTGGTGGGTTAAGGGAAGAGTGGTTGGGAATAAACGAAGAGGAACACGACGAGCAAACGAAGAGTTTTAAAAAAGAATGGTGAAAAAAGTGTAGCCGACTGCATTACATCGAACCAAAATGGCGCAATATTCACCATCAAACGAAGACATGAACAGGTTTGTAATGCTTACTTTTATCAACGATTTTACATATCTACAAGTAATATAATTGTACATCGTTAAGTAACGAAGTTGATAAAGAAAGAATTATTATGGACATAGAAGAAGAATATTTGTTTTGTTTTCTTGACAATTCTATTTGAGAAACTACTTGTTGCTCTCTGCTTGGAATCTAACATTAAATATTAAACATTAAACATTAAATACAGTTATCGTACACGTAATGCCACTTTAGAAATTGTTTAGAGAGTGTCGGTTTTGATAAGCCTATGACAGCGATGTTTTGTCAAGGGAGGATGTTTTGTCTTTTTTTCTTTCGAGTTCTAACAGCGAAGATAATACACGCGTTAAAGGAAATAGTGGATTTGTTCTCTGTTTCGCAACAAAAAATTTTCCACTTGGGATTTTTCCTTTCGCGATAGGAATCAGCGATGTATATTTGCCGCTTTTAAATATTTTTAAATATTTCTATATTGTTACATTACATGTTGCCTAATGTCATATCGAAGGATTAACGTTCGATTGGCGTCTTTATAAGAAACGTAATACCTTCGTTTAATTTTTTTAAGGAGAAGAAAATGAAAGATTAAACTAGATTGTGTTTTAAAACAAACGTCAATCAAAGGATCAACATTTTTTACTCCTTAATTCGCTTCTTGATAAAATTACTTCAACAGAGGTATAGAAGCAACTCAAACAATACAATAGTATAATATAAAAAAATTCAAGAATCAATTGTATTGTTTCGCGGAAATTCTACATCCTCCAATCGCTGCACGCTGCACTGAACATGGTTTTTCCTTCGAAATGATTAACAACCTCCGTTTGCTTTTGTCAATTCGAAACGCTAACCAGTTTACTCTAAGAAATCTCAGGAAATTCTTGAAATAGCGCCCATTACTACGTTCTATTACTTTTATGCCTTCGCACATATTGACAGTGTCTTACATTATTTAATACATTCCACTTGATGTTAGCGTAGCATTTTATATTATCATTCCTCGAATTATAAAATTAAATAGTACTAGGATTCAAGTACTCAAAAAAATGGAAATTTCAAACGTTCGAGTGTTTAAGGGCATAGACATCAAAGTTTCAGTGTTACTAGATATCATTAAGAATTGTTATAAAAAGTATAGCAAAGAAGAGCGAAAACACAAAGTCAAGCACGTAAATTTTATTTTTTAGTATATTATTCATTTAATTATTTTTTCATAGGTTAAGCAATACCGCTATCAATATTGTGCTTTCTTCGAAATTTTCCTAACATTTGACACAACATGCGTATCAGTTGATCACGCTCGTTGACTCGGACTAGGATGATAAAAAAACACTTATTCGACAATTTAATTCGTTATTAATCGATTATCGCAAGATTTTTATCTTGCTTAGGGCCATACACAGGTTGTTTATCTACCGATACTATATATATTTTCGAACGTGATTCTATGAGCCAAAATATAATGAATGTTATGAAAGATTTATTTAATATATTTTTTTTAATTTTTATAAATAACGAATTGACGCTAGGAATTTAAGAGACTGCAGGAAGTAACCATTGTTTATGAAGATCGTTTTAATAGCTATTAAAACATTATTTATAGACCAGACGCAAAGGTAAACAAACAGCGGACTCAATCGAGCAGAACGACTTTCATCGCGGAAACGTGTCTGTCGCGTTCCATGGAAATGCAATACGCATTTCTTTTGGAGAATGTTAATCGTCATTGCATGTAGTCATAGACCTTGGTGGCTCTTGTCGCATATCCATTCATCGTAGTATCGTATGTCATTATTCAACGTTATGCGTTTCCATATTATTATACTTTTATACATATATCGGATATTTATCTATCGAAGGTAAATAATTTACATTAAACATGTTGGTATAGTTGCTTCATCCTACACGGTAGGTTTACAATTTGTCTGCAAATTATCAGTATGGCTATGATTTATGACATGGATTAAACATGTTCTACGCAGCTTCTGTGAATCCATCTAAAATCAGTTAATTCTTTCATCTCTTTATCGGGAATCTTCGCACTGTTATCAGTGAGAAAAGCTTTCGTATCACACGTGTACGGCGTGTAACAAAAGTAAATAAACGTGAATATTTCTAACCTTTGTGTTTGCATAGGTTCTTCTGAAATTTGAAATTTGAAATTTGCCATTCCAGCGATATCATTGCACGTCCTATATTTTTATTTTTTTCTATACGTAAACATATTTATACATCAATTCGATACATAGACACATTTTATTTTCATTGTATACATTTAAAAAATATTTATTTCCATTCAAGTGTTTTTTGCTAGAATCCAAATTGTCTATTTACTTTTGTCATACACCGTATGTCTACAGCGACTCGACACGAAATTGTGATTCTTGTGTTATCGTCATTAAGTAGTTGCGAAAAGACACTATTGATCAATAGAAGGGAATTAACGTAACTTGTAAATCCGATACTTATGGAAGTGATCTTCAAACGCAATCATACTTCCTCGTACTAATCATGCACTAATGCAACATTTTCCTTCCTATAAATGTTCGTATCCTTGGTTATACTTACTAATATTTGTAAATAAGATAACTATAATGTTGCATTAGCTTTTCTGTTAAGATTGAAAGTACAATTGGGTAGAAATTATAGATAATACGTAACTCTGAAGCATAATTATAGGGGATGCGAGATCTCTATGGTCGTATCCTACAACGTGCTTGGTGTTTAACAATTGCTCGAGGTTTCCGTGAACATTTATTTTTATTCCAATGACTTCATTTTTATGGTCACCGCAGGAAAGAATTGTTAAATTCTTAATGATACTGAGATTTTGAGTCATACTCTGTTGCGTATGCGGCAGTTATGCGTGATAAAAGATACCTCTTGTGTATAAAGTGAATGTATAAAGAGCAATTAAGTACATACTTGCAGGATTACTATAAAACCTATTTAACCCTGGAATATAATTGAGCCGTTCACTGCACAAATCGATTAACTCCACTTTTCGAAAAATCTTAAATTTAAGTGCCACGGCAATTGGTTCAGTCATAACTTCTTACATTTATATTAAACAATGCATTTCAGAGGCCATTTCAAATTTCTTCTTATATCAGAATTTTCTGAGTGTATGGTTTATAAGTACACATTCGGTATGAATACATGTCATTGTATTCAAATAAAATTTATATTTTCATTTCATTCATATCTCATGGAATATTTTTAGTTCTACAGTTTGCATTTTTATGTCTATTTGCCAAGTAACAGATAGTAACGGTTACTTATCGTTTATTCGTTATCTCTTTTATCTAGATAAGATTTTGATCTGTCTCTGATTTCGTGTAGGATATCGTTACTTTCTAGTGTCGTCTTACCTTTTGCCATCGATGGCATCACAACTAAAGCCCCTATCGACGTGGATTTAGGGATTTAGGAATTTGTACAAATTGCTTATCAGCGATCTGGGAGAAAACGTTAATTTCACCAGGTAGATCGGATCTAGTCGCGCAAACCGGTTCACGAAGATCGGCGTGCAGAATTACGCAAACTGCCGGGTGAGCGTGCACCAAGGCTTATGTAATCACAACAGTTCAGAGCTGTGGTCCTTTCACGTTGAAAGGAATTATGTCAATGACAGAATACACGGCACGCAACAGCTGGCCGTGTAAAAAGTGACTGATGGGCTCATCCTTGGCCACGTCTAATTCCATTTGCGCCGCAATTGAATCGGGTGAATTTGTTGCTCTGCGGCATTAACTTATCGCGATCAATTTTCGAACGATTATTCTAGCTGATAGGAATCGTCGATTCATCCCAATCAGACGCAAACAAAATTGTATTACAATAACACTGCCTTAGTGTTACAATTAACGTACGCTTCCGTGATATTCACACATATTCATTTTTAATGTAACTTCTTTGATTATTATGCTAGAGGAGAAAGCATACAACACTCCGAGACGTTAAAAGGAAAGTGTGCACGATCCAAAAATATTTTGAAAAAAGATGTTACTAACTCCAGTAACAGCACTGTCCATTCTAGCCAAATGGCCCAGTAACCAGTGTTCGTGCTTGCGTTACAGAAGCGAGGAGAAATCATCGCCAGTCGAATTGAACGGAAACGTCGAGATTTCTTATCCGATATCGAAATTTCGACAAGCGTTGCCGCAATTCTGCGCAGTCAGCGCGAAGAATCTCATAATGATCACTTTTGGATCTACCCTGGGATTTTCCACTATTTTGATACCGGAACTGAAGAGAGAGGATTCAGAGATACCGGTTACCAGGGAGGAATTGACGTGGATCAGTAAGTATCTGTTAAAGTAGAAGTGTCTGAGCTGAGCTATATATTGTCTATATGAAGATATTTTTGTGTAAATATTTAAAGAAATGATAAAATAACAGATCAGTTAATATCCAGTAAAATCCACTATTCATATTTTCTTATGTAAAATGAATAATTTTTTTACTTTTCTTCTCTTTGTCTTAATCTTTCGCAAGCCACGATAGGTAATCAACTTTCCATGCACGATCCTGTATAATTTCGTTTGACAGAAGATATTTTTGATATATATTTACCCGCGTTTGCAGGTAGCCTGAACCTGTTCCTGGTACCCATCGGTTGCTTCGTGAGCGGTCCGGTGTCGCAGTTCCTAGGAAGGAAACGTACCATGATGCTGATCACCGTCCCGTTCGTAATAGCGTGGATCATTTTCCACTACGCCACCAATGCCGGGATGCTGTTCATCGCGTTGGCCATAACAGGGTTAACCGGTGGACTCCTCGAGGCGCCCGTGATGACCTACGTGGCGGAGGTGACGCAGCCCCATCTTCGCGGTATGCTTTCCGCCACGTCGAGCATGTCCATCATTTTGGGAATCTTCACGCAGATGGTGGGCGGAAAGTTAACCAACTGGAGAACGGTCGCCTTGATTAACTTGACCTACCCTCTCGTCTGCTTCTTCGCCCTTTGCATGGTGCCAGAGAGCCCATATTGGTTGGCAGGTGAACTTTATTTTGGTGTTTCTTAAGAAATTCGTTGGGAGTTTAAAAAAATGTGATCCTTCTTGGAAACTGGGTAGAACTTTTTTCAAATTGAGAGGGTAACACTCTCTTTACACTTTCTTTTCAAGGTCAAAACATAGATGTCTATTTGTTGATATTCTTGTGGTGTAATCTCTATAATTTTTTAGAGATAATGTTTCATTTTTTGTGATAAGTGACATTTTTATATAGAAAGACCAATTCTTTGTTCTGACCCAGTTGTTCTAGCTGAACACATCGATAAAGCTTACGTAGCTGATTCAGCGTTACACGTGACGTTATTCAAATGAATAATCACGTCTATAACAGAACCTGTGATAAGCTTTACCGATAAGTTCAGTTAAAAACCTCGGAACGAAATAGTTCTACGAAAAAGACACATTCCTCTTGGTGTAAAGATTGTTACAATCACATCACAGAGCTGTTTGGAACCCAGAACCGTTATCAAGATTACTCCAACGTAACAATGTCTTAATTATTCCACTAAAGGACACATTCCTATAACAATTGTGTCACGACTTATTTAGAATCTTAGAAATCTTATCAAGATTCGTCGAACATTAAAATGTCTCAATTATCATTCTTGTGTAAACGCGAGGCACCTCGCGATTATAAGGCCGCCGCCGATAAGGCCCGCGCGCGTATTTTCTATTCCTCTGTATTTGAGATTCGTGAAATAGATACAACCTGTGTCATGCCCCGCCTAATTTCTCCAATTCGCTACGACTTTCAGCGAAAGGTCGATTGAAGGAAGCGGAGGACGCTTTGTCCTGGCTTCGAGGGTGGGTTGGTCCGGGTCAAGTGACGTCAGAGTTCCAAACCATTTGTCAGGAGATTCATAAGCCCGCAGACTCGCGACATAACGTTTGGAAGGACTTCCGCAACAAGACCTTCTACGCGCCTTTCATTCTGGTCACCTGGTCCTTTTTCATCGGATCGTTCGGTGGCAGCATCACTCTTCAAACCTTCGCTGTGGTCATCTTCGAACAACTGAACGCGCCCATCGAACAATACACTGCCGCGGTGATACTTGGCCTGGCCCAGCTGATCGGGACATTGATCTGTGTTTTCGCTATACATTTCACCGGCAAACGGAAGCTGAACTTCCTCTCAATCGCCGGCACTGCTCTCTGCTTCTGTTTTGCGGCCGTTTACGGCTATCTCAACGACAGTCGTATAGTGGACACACATAATTACACCTGGATTCCAACTACATTGATGATCGGATCTGCGTTCCTCTCTCACGTCGGGATTAGGCTGCTACCTTGGATCCTTGCGGGAGAAGTCTTCCCTGTCAAGGTAGATCTCTTCGTGTAAAAATTTCAAAATTTTCCTTCTCTTTTTAGCCGTACTACAACCAGAATCCCTTACACTATCTATAATATCTCTGAAACTAAAATGAAACTTTGAATTGCGACCAGGTACGAAGCAGTGCGACAGGAGCTGCAGGTTCCATCGGTTACATTTTCAACTCTATCGCGAACAAGGTCTTCCTGTATATGGTGGACGGGATGTCGTTGCCTGGCACGTTCTTTTTCTACGGGATGATAAACGTCGCCGGCGGCGTGCTGCTCTACTTCATACTGCCAGAAACAGAGGGTAGAACCTTAAAGGAGATCGAGGACCACTATGCCGGCGTGCAGAGCTTGAAGAACAAACCCAAAAAAGAGGACTTGCCCATGAAAGAGAAATGGGCAGCTACGAATCCAGCTGTGATTTATGATGACACGGAGAGCAAAATGTGAAACGTAGATAACTAGGTTAAAGATGGCTGTTAAATCCCTGGATGGATTCGAAGAGTTTCGGAAGGGATGCAAATCAACGATGTCGTTGGAAGTTTCTCGTTCGTCTTAACAGTGAAACGAAACTGTATCGATCTAACTTTATCAGCTTGTCGACTTACAAAGATACTTGGTAAGAGAAAAAAATATGTATTTTTGTATTCGTTTTTATGACGCTAGATGAGACAGAGTATGTTACTATGTTTCATGTGATCAGTAATAGTTGTTTTTATTGTAAATAAACGATTCCATGATGTATTTTTGATACTGATGCAAAGGGAAACGCGATCCATCCGATTGTGTTCCTACGATGTATTAGTCTTCCGTTATTTTCGAGATGTATTACATTGAGAATTATTAGCAATAATACTTTGTAATAAACAAACTGTTTCGCAGAAGTATTCAGCTAGATTTCGCTTAGAAATTGTATTAACCGCCAACATCTAAAATATTCCACGCGTAAATTACGCGCATTCTGTAATAATTTCGCACTGGCCTTAAATTTATCCTCCATCCCTAAAGCGATGAAATGAATACGCTTAATTTTTATCGTAACAGTGATTAATTTTTCAGAAATTTTACAAAGAAAGATCAAGTTTAACCGACAAAAAAAAAAACTATGATATTCGAAGTTGAACCGGAACAAATAATGTTTGTAATTTTTATTTTTACAGTTTACGATACAGTGCCATATATTTATACACTCACAATGTCATCTACAACCAATTACAGAGTATCACAGTTTAAATTCCGCCGGAGTGATGTACGCCTGGCTTACGAGCAGAATTTTTTGCTTCAACTTCGACCTTCCTCCGTCGTCGGCGTCGCGGCTGTTTTTGTTTCTCATTGTTCGCTGTAGTCTTGAAATATTGATCGACCACCTTCGGGAAATTTTCTTGGTGTAGAATGTTCAAGTAATTGACAATTCTATCGGGCAACCGCGGCACTTTCAGGTTTTGCGTCGCGAGCATTCTCCGTCTTCTCCGTCTTCTGATTTTCTTCGACGGGCCGTGAGCGCTTTCACATTTCCTTAAACTACAACAGGAAATTACGTTATAACAGTGCCATTATAATTATTCACACTTTTATTTATATTTGCTTCACTTGAAAAGGAAAAAAATCAAGCGAACGACTGATAATAAATAATCAAGTTAATGACCGAAACAGAATTCCTGTTCCCCGACAAATACTACGAGAGCTCAAACTAAAATGTTCTTATCGATAATTATTGGCGACAGAAATAGAATTTCCTTGATCGATAACGGTGTGTAGGAAACGAACAAATTTGTCTGTTCGTCTTTTTATCGCGTGTTTTTTTTTTAACATTTCAAGTTGAGCTACTCTGTGTCCAGTTCTTTTATTTATATAAACTATATTCCACCTGAGATTCGATTTTCCAATCCTGTGTCCAGATTGTGCTCGTTTCACAAATCGTTTTTGGCAATTACCTTCCAACTCTAGCACATGCTTCTCCCCCAAGTAAATGATATCGTGTCTATGAGGATTGCGATGGGACATATTTAAACGGTCAATTTAACGCGTGGATACACAATTATAATCAAATCAATGACAATTTCTTTCGAAATTTATACGCAATCATGTCAAGATGCGAACCGAGTAAATAATTATAAACAATTCTGGTTGTCATGGTTGTCTACATCTATCGAATATAGAACTATCCGAAAATACGTTTACTTCATCGAAATTTACCCCTTTTCCGTTATGAAGACCTCCACGATGAACCCACTGATATTCAAATTAGCTTCTGCAACCCGCGTTATACAAAAAATCTACCATACTGTTACACGGCATGAGAATAAACTCGCACTCGCGAGATAAAGTAACCCCCATAGACCTCTGTGTCTGGCCAACGGAAACTCGTCTTCGGCACACGTCCGATGACACGATTTCTTCCTTAACAATCGTCAATAGGTGTCACCGACGATCGGTACTTCAGCCTAACCAGAAGAGTCCATAAACACCATGGAGGGTATGGTAGCGAAGTGTGCACGTACTTCGGATCAACAAGTGTCCTCCGGCAGAGATGAGTTCCTCCTGGCTGTATATTGATGTCAACCGGGTTGCTCGTGGCGCAGGCGCGGCCTTCCTCGGGATTGGCTCGAGGACGGGCGGGGGTCCGCGAAATGGTCGATATTTTAGCTATAGGGGGTACAGTGGCGCGAGGCATTACCGAGGCCACTCCAGTCTCTTTAAAATCATCGCGAAACAACCCCCGTGCTGCGTGAGTTACATCGTGTCGAATCTCTGGACTCGCGTTTTCACCAGAGATTCATCGTCGAGCCAAGGTGGTGCAAGGGCCCCGTGTGCAGCGCGTGGTGCATTCACATTCAGCGACCAGCCGTAAGAGGATCATCCTTTTCAGGAGGTACTCATCGGAAACGACTCGTCGGATAAGAAGGACGGACTCGTCCGTGTGTTTCAGGGCCTTGTTCATAACAATTTCGAGCCTGAACAATTTCTGTCCGACCAGCCAGTTCGTCGATAGACTGCTTATTGATTACACTCTGTCTCTCTTTATCTATCTCTCCCTCCCTCCCTCCCTCTCTCTCTCTCTCTCTCTCTCTCTCTCTCTCTCTCTCTCTCTCTCTCTCTCTCTCTCTCACACTCTTTCTCGCGGTTCCCCTGTCGCGCTGGAAACTGTGGCTGCCGAGTCGACGTTTGCCAAGTGGTCGATCCGTACGAGATGTGTGCTATACGATCCGACAAGTGAAACGAAAGGTTGCGGATTCTCTTGGCAAGTTAGCGACATTATGCCTTCGTGACGTGGTTCTCTTTGTTCCGTGCTACCTTTTTCGTTGTCGTCTCTGTCCTTATCTTCTCGGCGGCCACCAGGATCCGAACCTTTGGTCTCGGCTCGGGGCGAACGTGTCAGCTGCTGACGGATTCAAACGGCAAAGGTTCGCGAGGTAAAGGGGACCAATGATCGCCGAAGCGGAGAAATCCGCTTGAAAACGGAACCCCTTTGACGACAAAGCCGCGATCGGAATTTATCGACGTAACGCCGAAATCGAGGATACCAGGATTATTGATTCGGACGCGTTTTTGGGATCCAGATCCGAGCGTCACGACGTACATATACGGAGGCTCCATCTTTCGTCTACGTCCGTTTCGCCAGCCGCTGAAATCGAAACTATGTAACGAGCGGCGTGGGTGGTCAGGGGCTGGGAATCGATCTTCCAAAAATATTTGCTCTGTTGCTACCCCTCTCCGACCGTCGACACCACTACCCCGTGGCCCAACGTAATCGACAAGTGACTCGAGGCTTCAGTTTTCTCAATAACATTTCTGCCGTTTTAGCTAATAGGCTGAGAATTGTTCGGGATTTGGCAGAGATTTCTGTGCTATTTATAGCGGTTGAGGTAGAAAGGATAGTATTGGGAAGTTTGAAAGCCTAGGAAGAAAGCATCTTCTTTTAGGGAAGCAGGATGTATTGGTCGGCTGAGTTACGTTTGGATTAGGTTTAAGCTTGAAAGGGAGTTTTGTAATATCGTTGAGGGCGAAGGAGAAAAGGTAGAGAGAGGTTTGAGGAGTTTAGGAGCCTAGAAGGAGTCTCCCCTTTTAGGGAAGCAGTTTAGATTTGGTCGAAAAGTTACAACTAGGTTCGTATGATTTCAGAAGTTATCGTTACATTTGTCAAAGGCGATGGTGCTTTATGGACACCACAAATGTTAATGTCTTTTCTTTTTAGTGACAGTTCTAGAGGTAACAGATCTTCCGTGACATCTCTAAAATTCCTGGAACAATGTACACAAGATCTCACGCGCTAGCCGAACTAGTTGAGATAGCTTTTACTTGAATGCCATTAATCATAAGATACTTACTTACAGAAGATAGATACTTACAGAACATCTTACAAGAGGAATCACGATAAAACGTGATATACGTTCTTTTTTTGACTACAGAAGAGGCTTCTAAAGTTTCAACCAGCTGCTCCACTCGTTCACTGTGCCCTTGTTAGATGCCAATAACGTTAGACGATCGATAGACAGATCGTTTATCTGGTGACTGAGAGTTTTGAAGATAGAGACTTGACCCACGGGGCCTTTTGCTTCGCGAATAAATCGCTTTCAACGTTTGGAAATACTGTCTGTCTAATGTATTTCATTGTCGCGTACGTTTGGAAGAATCGGATTTGTCGAGAGGTTCTTCGCTCGAGTACAAAGACCCGAGTAATGCAGTCAATGTAGAGTATCGATAATAGGGAAGAGGATAAGAAAGAAGTCCTTTCAAAGAACATTGTTCGCCGATCCTCGTACTCGTATTCGTAGATTATACTCCTCGACAACTTGTTCAAGATTTGCTAGAGAAATGTCTGTCTAGAAATTCTGATTTTTATCTTCGCAGTATATAACTGACAGTGTTGACGTTTTATTTAATTAGAGTTATACTATAAAACACGGAAACTCGCGTCTTCTATATCAGAAAATTTCATTCGACGCGTTATTGTGACACTAAGAATACACTTGTGTACAACGCGTGATCTTGGTTCCACGAATTGATATTCTTCCAATTTCAAAACTCAGAAACTCATGTCTTCTCCCTCGGAAAATTTCGTACAGCACGTAGATGCGCACAAAGATGCAATTGTATGCTTGGGTCTACAAACTGGGTCAGCTTTGGAGGCATTTCTTCAACGCGTAGAAGCTTCCAACGCTTGACTAAAATTTGCCCATTCTCGAAACTCGAGGACTCGCGTCTTCCGTATCAGAAAATTCCGTAGAACACGTTGTTGCGGCGGTAAGGATGCAATCGTGTGCAGCGCACACCGAAGTTAACATATGGACGGCGATATGATTATCGCGAACCTTGTCCCACTTTCTTCAGCTTGGGCGTGTGAAGCGCAGTGCGTAGGTGGGTGACACATTTCCCTGCAAAATCCTTACCCGGAATTTCGATATCGATGGCAGATTGTCGGACTTCCGGTACTCGAAGTTATTTGCCTAGTTATTTGTTTCTGGTTATTTTTGAACTCTCTATCAAAGCGAAACATACGAAATGTCCCACCTAACTATCGCATCTTAAATATCTCACGCATTTTTCGTTACAGCAAAAAATGTCAGAGAAAAACGTTATTTGGTTTGTTTGGAGGTTCGAAGGTCATTGGCGTTTCTTTAAACGGAAACGGGTATTTTCATTATCGTAATATTGGTGGTGATAAAAAGACAAATCCGAACATGTACAGTACGTTTACCTAGACGCTTTAGTACCATCAGATGGAAGAATAAGCAAATTTTTTATTATTTATTTTGCTATAGCTTTATTATTATAAAATGAAAAAGTAAAGAATTACGACAAATTTACTATAGCACTTAGTAGATTGGTGGTGACATCAGACGCATACCATGCATATGCATGAACCTATATGTCGTTTTCATCGCGCATGCGAGGAAACATCGAGGTGATGTGATAAATTCGTCCTAATTCTGATTTCTAAAAGCATAGTCTGGAACACCACTGACGTATAAGCAACACCCTGAGCGGCACATATCACACTGTAATCACACTCACGCTGCATAAGTACCGCGAACAATACACTGCATACAGGACACACATGGTGCACGCATACACGTCCACGTGACAGATAGCGTTATCGTCTACACGTTCCCGACAAAATTTTACCACGGAAAGAATAAATTTTCATTCTAAGATACTTCTGTGCTAGCATAAACATTACTTTCTTCGCTGGTAACACACAAATGTTGATCCATTGTAAGCTTCTTTGACCCTAACAGGTTGATTTATAATTTCGGTTATATAAAATACGTTTTTGCATATTTATTAAAAACCTATAATGATATAATTTATTTATTATAATATTCTTCATTCACTTCCTACTTTCTATTGAAGGTCCCTCGAGAGATCTGAAAAAGCGTCATAACATGTAAATCAAAAAAGGCCCAAAAACATTTTCCGACTTGTTTGCATACTATCCATATTCTTACATGTTTCAGACTTTTTAATCGGTATGCATTCTAATCGCTATATTTTCTGCAGTATGTGCCGTATACGTTAACAAATATGTCGAAGAAAAATTTATTCGTCGTTCACGAATACAACTCTTGATCGAATAACTTTTGCTCGTTGCTCGTTGTCCGTGGTAAAATTCGTATATCACGGTGGCCAGAAGTCGGTGACGCGGAAATGATAGAACTTGAAAATCTGAGGGAACACCGGAGTCACCGTCACAACTCGAGCATGAAATCGATAAGAACCTTCACTCAGTTTGAAAACTTTGCAGTGTCTGCGCCTCGGCGTCGTTTATTTATAGTCTTTTCTAACTGACATTTATTTTCAGGTGTAACTACACTTGGAATTGTTTTCCATTTAGTTCCCGACATTGTTGTCCGACGGTTGTTAAGATGATGACATTAAACAGTTGTCCCGCGCCTACGAGATGTCTTTGTGCATCTGCAATTGCTATTGTTCAGCGTTTTGCAAGTGTCGAACGAAAATTATTTCTCTCGGGGATTAAGAAGATGTCAATTTTTTGTTTCTTGAACCGTCCTATCTTGCAGCATAAGCGCATTTTTTTTGTTTCTTGAACTCGTACTTTGGCTGCCAAAAGATCATGAAAATTACCTCAAAAGTGTCGGAAAAGAACGAATCGATCTTCAAGAAATTTCGACAATGGCTCCCCTCGGTTACCATTTTTTTCGCCATGCCTGCGTGTGCGTGCACACACTCACAAAGAAACCGTCGCGATACTGTATAAACGACGCTGACAAGGAATAACCGAACGCAAACAGGAACGAAAGAAACCGCAGACGCGTCCGCGGTGTCAAGATCGACGAACACTGCCGTTGAATAGCGTGCATATTAAGCCGCAAGTGTTCGTCGAATGCTCGTCAGGTTTGGTTGAGAATATTCCCGAGCCCGTTAACATCGAGTGATAGATCGTAGGTGGTGTTTCGCGCTAGAATAAACGAATTATTTCTCGAAATGTCGGATAAGAAAGCGAAAAGCCAAGACGGGAACGCCGGCAGGCCACCGGTCAAGGACTCCGTCCTGGAACTGAGAACGAGGATGGCGCGAATGATGTCTATCGTCGAGATTACCTCGCGGGGGACACTTCCGGTAACGACACGTGTACACTTGTTCAGTTCCTACGGTCGTACACGCAGTTGTTTCATCGCGATCGCGAATAGCGCTGCTCGATCGGAGAACGTTTCACGGTGGCGGTCGGGAAGCCCGATTTCTTCCAAACAGAAAGTCGAAAGTAGGATATCGATAGGGATAGTGAAATCGGAAAGGTGGAGAGGGAGTGAGTAGGAGCCCGATGGTGGATAAGCGTAGTCTAATGGAGAGTAACAAAGCGACGAAGGGTAGAAGATTGGAGGTAGGTAGTCGTGGAAGAAGTTCGCGGATAATTGTGGTTGAGAAATTGGTGAATTGTAAAGAACTGACGGCTTGTGTAAGTGGGAAGAGTGCATCGAGTATCAAATAATTCTAGAGATAGTGTAATCTTGGTGATGGTAACAAATTATTTATGGTGATTTGATGGTGAAACAGGACAGAGTTTGTGATTAATTAGGTAGATTGGAAACAATTTGTGCAACTTCATATTTTTATACATATGGATAAAGGAATTAAATTACCTGGTCTTCTAAACAGTGTATCTGTGAATCTGTGGGTACACTTGTACATTTTTCCATATTTCCAGCTGTCATAAATGTACAAGCTTCCGCGATGTAATTACGAATAATTAGGCACAGTATGCTTAACTGACGACGATAGTTCGAGTAGTGGAAATTGAGAAAATGATAAGGATATAGCGTGACCTCATAAATACAGGAACCTTGAAATATTGAATTTGCACTTGAAACTTAATTGCGTGTTGCATCATTCACACATTTAGAACTGCTCTATTCTCTGAAATTTCTTTATTATTCTGTTCTTCATTTGCGTATATCGGTACATTGTTTTCATTATTTAAATTTGCAAATATGTGTATGCCACGGCTGTGAGCATTTTTACAAGACAACATAAAAAACGATGTTCGACGAGGATGGGATTCGAACCCACGCGTGCAGAGCACATTGGATTAGCAGTCCAACGCCTTAACCACTCGGCCACCTCGTCTGATTATTGTAGGCACGAAGTAATTAATTATAAAAGAAAACACAACTTGTGCCAGTCTTAGGAATTTGCCGGTGAGTGATTACAGGCAGGGTGATTAATCGTGGTTGAAAACGTGATAAGCTTTACAGGTTCGAGAAACCTACTATATTTGGTTAAAGAGTGGTAAATACATCGAGTGGTTGAAAATAACGAAATCGTGGAATAATTAAACCTTATGGATGGCAGGAAACAATTAATTGCGACCTCATCGAGGTTAAGGAATTAATCAGGAAGTTAATTAAGAAGGTGTCTTAATTGCGGTTAAGGAATTGGTAATTGACATATGATCTGGGGGTTGGTAATTTGGAGAGCCAGTGTCGATGAATAATTTTGGTCGATTTGGTTTAAGAGAATACCTTTTTTTTTAATGCCATTATAGTGTCGTGCCTTCCTAAGACGCAAACAGAGTTTAGCTGCCCGCGTCGCTGATTTTTATGAAACAAACGCTTCCAAAGGATTTTTCGTATCAGGACACTCGAACCACGATTTCGTTGCAGATGGCGGGCTCGAAAGCTGGCGAGGATCCAAAGAAGGATGCCGCGGATCAGAACTTCGACTACATGTTCAAGCTGCTGATTATCGGCAACTCGTCCGTTGGAAAAACGTCCTTCCTCTTCCGCTACGCGGACGATTCGTTTAGCTCGGCCTTCGTATCGACCGTGGGAATCGACTTTAAAGTGAAAACGGTCTTCAGAAACGACAAAAGGGTGAAGCTACAGATCTGGGTCAGTACACATCCATACTATTCCTCGCGAGACATCGACTATCTTCGTGGTTTGTTAATTTTTTACACAGAACAATTGTCTCGCGTCGAGCTTTCTACGTATCGTACTTGAAATGTCTCATACAGAGTAAACCATTCGAACGGGGACACCGAAATATAGCGAACTGAAATATAAATTTTGTTTCTTCGAGTATTATAATGTATCAAAAACTGAAAGGTACATGTTATTTCTTATAAAATTCGTCGTTGAGCTCTCAGTTATGATTCTGAAAGTTTTTATTAAATATAAAAGCATTAAAAATTGTCCCGACTTTGTCGAATTTACGACAACAGTTTGACGTTTTCTATCAATTATTTGCAGGACACGGCGGGCCAGGAAAGATATAGAACAATAACGACAGCCTACTACAGGGGCGCGATGGGCTTCATTTTAATGTACGACATCACAAACGAGGAGTCGTTCAATTCAGTACAAGACTGGATAGCACAGATTACGACTTATTCGTCCGAGAACGCTCAAGTAATCTTGGTTGGCAACAAGTGCGACATGGAGGACGAAAGGGTGATCAGCGCCGAGAGAGGCAAGCAACTGGCGGATCAATTGGGTGTGCAATTCTTCGAGTCGTCTGCCAAAGAAAACTTTAACATTAAGGTAAACACAATGTCCAATTGCAACTTGATCGAACCTGAGTTTGTTTGTTGAATCGGATATGCTTAAAATACAATGTGCATAGACATGAAAGGGAAATCAAGACACGATTAGAGTTCAAGAGAATTGTAAAACTCTACGCATTTTACGAGTTACTTCATTTTTTCCCCGTTCCTCGCAGCCAATTTCTTCAATTGTTTACCGAATCCATTATCCTCGCAGTCCAGGGATCGCGTGTTACCATTATTAGTGAACGATGGTGGAAAGGTTATCGTGTCACGTTTCAACGCTTATGCCTATCCGTCAGGTGTGTGTACTGTACCATTACCTTCGATCAGGCGTCCTCGATTACCGCTCGTTTGTGCCCATTAATCACTCTTGCACAACGCGTCGAACTTATTGGCATTGACACATCGAACTCCAACAGATCGATTGTTTTACTCGTAATCGGTGGAAGTATCGACAGTGCTGACTAAAATTCGTTTAATTTGATCATCTCGGTTCACGAACGACGGCGACGTTCCTTACATGTAAGTTTACGTAATGATTAGCTAGTTCAGCATACAGAACAGATACAAAGGAATCAGACTCTTTGTCACTCATTGTCAGTTTCGATCAATTCGGATGCAAGGATGATTTCGTTATTCTCCTTTCGTGTATCTTCTCCGTTGTTATCATTATTGAGAATTAAAACCATCGAGATGAAATGGGAAGGAACTTCTTGGTATTAGGCAAATGCTACCCTCCTCGTCTACTAAGTCCCTGCAAAGACAAGAATAGAAAAGGAATTTGTTAATAACTCGGCATACTTTTGTCCCAACAGACGGTGTTCGAGACACTCGTGGACATTGTATGCGACAAGATGAGCGAGTCCCTGGATAACAATCAAACCCTGAACGCCGGTGGGGATCAAGCGAAGGGTCAGCGACTCACCGATCAGCCGACCAGCGCAGCGACTACAAACTGCAATTGCTAAGAACGTGGAACCCCACCTACGCTCTGTATCAGGAGGACAAGGAAGAAGAAAGGATACCGAAGAAGAAGAAATATTAGAAAAGAAATGCGTGTATGCCTGTACATGTGTGCGTGAACGCATGTCTACCTGGATTGTGTATGCGTGTACGTGTGTATGTGTGCATGCGTACGTGCGTGCGTGCGTGCGTGCGTGCGTGGCCTGCGCGCGCGTGCGTGTATGTGTGCGCTCGTGTGTACCTGTGTGTGTCGGAAAGAGAGGGCGAAGGAGAGGAGAAGACAGAAGAAGGAAGGTCGAATGATAAAGCTGGCTCTAGTTCAACCCCTGTTCGTCATTCCTTTACCCTTGTTCCTGACCGTTCTTCTTTCCGCTCTTTTTCTTTCCTCCTTTCTCGATCGATATATTTATATATGTGCACATAAATACGTATATATACATAGGGTGAGCCGTGAAATTCAATCAAGCTAATTGTTCTCGCCTTAACTAACCGACCTGCGTTATTTGGTGTCTACGGACCAGTCGAGTCTGGAAACTGGCTCGAGCGCGTTCTCACGGTGTTAGATGACGGTAGAGGATGATACGTTCAAGCCACACAGGATATCGTGGATAATTTCGTTTTCAGCCTTTTGGAAAACGAGCTACGAGCCGCAAGTTCCCCACGTCCAAGTGCTCGTGGAAACGAACGATAAGCATGGCGATATTTAAAACGAAACGTTTATATCCAGTCTCACCATTTTTAAGTTGTAGAGGTTCGGGCTCGTTAGAAGAAGAGCTCGAGGGTTCTTCGGACACTAATTGCTCGCAACAGGGCAATCCCTCTTTGTTACGATTTTTTGATCGAAATATAACACACAATCTGCATGAATGATTCGACTACGAATTAACTTTTAAGTGCTTTCGATGATTCTCTAGTACTCGTTACCTGTGAATAATTTATTGTTAAACGGTATACTTAGATAATTTCACCGTTCTTTGTAATATATCTAGCTCATTCATCGTTCAAGTCATATCATGATGTTAGAGAGTTGAGTTACGAGTGAGTTTTCGTTGGGAATGCTGAAAATCGGTTCACTCTCCGCCTAAACTTAGAATACTAATGATGTGTTCTACGATCGGATTCCATCGTTCCCTGTACGAAATCATCCAATAGTCGATCCATCGACGGCGAGAACAATCAGGATGGCTACAATTGGGCCACTCACCCTGTATACATGTATAAATATGTATGACGGTTGTAGCCTGATTACGCGGAGGTGAGCCACCGAGCTGATCCGAGACCGATTGCGAGCAGACGTTGTTCTTCTTTTCGGGTTCGACGGAGATATTCGAGAAACGGAAGAAATCGACAAAGGCTTGAACAGTAATAGACAAAAGAAATAGAAATTGAAACGCGCATCTCCGTGACGAGAGTTTCGATATGGCGCCATTATTCTGGATCGAAATCAGGGGATGCGTTCCCGCTACGGCGGCGCCGAATCTCGCCTTTCGCCACTATTAGAGTATAGTTTCCTCGACGGTTCTATTCAACCTCTCGAATCCATTTGTTAAATGTGTCGACAAACCCAAAGACAGATAATAGTGAAAAAAAAAAGATAATCAATCGAGGAAAACGATTTTTCATAAACGGAACGAAGAGAGAGCCTATATGTTTAGTAACTGTGAGACTGAGAATAAGATACTTCGACGTTTCGCCAGCATTGATGTCAGGTTCTTCGGGGCTCGAATGACACATTGATATAATTGATTAGCCCCGAAAATAATATATTTATGAATATATTTGACGGTTAGTTTTCAGTATTTTCATTTCTTAATGTTACGATGAAATATCATTATATGTATTCATAAATACATATATTATATTTCAATGTTGAGAAGACATCCGAGTATCTTATCCAAAAGAGCACGGCTTGCACCCGGAAGCCTTAGCTAGCATCGACCACGAAGAACCGGAGTGGTGAAAGCCTGAAATATTTTATCGTTAAGTAGTTAAGCGAGCGACGATTTATTTGTTACCGTACCAAACGAAACGAGAATCGATAGTTTTCCCTGAGAATTTGTTTCCGGTGGCGAAAGGATCAAAGGATAGCAACGATGTTCCTGGAGGATTGTTCGAACAAACGGCTGTGTTCTTTCGAAATAATTCCAAGGACGAACTGATCGCAGCATCGTTTTCTCGAGGTTCGTTTTGCCTTTCGTCTGTTCCCGGATTTTTCTTTCTCTGTAATCGGTCTCAGAAGAACACAGCCACCTCGATAACGATCGTCGTTGACGATCTCAAGCGCACCTCGACCCATAGCGGTGAATTATTGATTATTCGACGATCCACGGTAAGGGAAATCGTTTAGAACGATTTGGTCGAGGAACGTGTCGAGCCGCGTGCACGCTTGGAAAAATTTAACGATGCAAATCGAAGCACGCGATGCCACGAATCAAATGAAATTTCACGAGTTCACGTTTTTCTCAAGTGTGGACGCTGCATTAGTGGGCCGTGGACCTGTTCAAGCGTGCAATTCATGTGACAAATAAATGTTATGCGTTCAATTGCAATTCTGGTAACAAAGAAAGAAATATATATCTGTGTTGTATTTAATGAAATTTCGTATAGGTTGGAAACGCTTATAATTTACTTTATTTTTTTATTTTAACCTGATCACGAGTCGTAGTCTGACGGAGACGGGCTGAATTCTTGTTTAGCCATCTCGAATAACAAACGTGGGATTAGCAACTTTTTATTGGTTGCAGATTGGATAAAACATGGAATTTAAACTGTTCGATGACATTGAATTTCACTTTGAATGAACGGAAACAAATATAAGTGATTATTCAGTTGAATAAACATGAGTAAATTTACTATAGCTATAGAATAAAATTTTGCCCGTCTCTGAAATTCGATCGAGACTTCGGGGACAAGGAAGATTCATTTCAGGTATTTTAGGACAGTCTTCCGAAGTCGTTTCAGAATTTCAAGCCGATTGTACAAATTCTAGAAACTGTTCAAAACTTTCGAGCTGCGAAATGTTGAAGGAACTTAGTCTAACCCCTTTTTACGAGCCGTACAAACTCTCCATCATCGACGAATCTTTGCGTCAGTGACTTCGACACCACTGGAGGGAAGAATGTCGGTCGCTTGGATCAGTTCGAACGCTGTGAAAGTTGACGTTTTCAACTGGAGACCACCCTCTTGTCAGGGGGTGAGTTCACCGTTTTCATCGGCCTCGACGAAAGTGGAGAAGTTTTCGTTAGACATTCAGTAAATCTAATTTCATTTCTAAGACGTATTCTCGTTCGAACCTGGAATCTCGACGACGCACAATGGTCTGAGTCTTAAAAGCTGGCTAAAACTTCAAGTAAAACTTAGCGAAATTTGAGTGAAAAAGTAATTTAGATATAATGGAAAGGTAATGGAAAATATTTTCTTTACGTTTACTAAATTTTAGACACAAATAAGTGGGGAGAAATAATGCAGAATATATCAGTAGAAGGATTAAGAAGAAAATTACTTAAAGAGCTTATCGAGTTAGAGTGGGAAACTGGGAAAATATTGAGAATATCACGAGAAAGAACGGTTGTGGCTTGAAGAAAAAATTTGGTGATACGCCAAATAAATACGAGCAGTTAATTTAACGATAAATTATTTAGAAAATTTGGTCGATATATTTAAAAAAGAAACGATAACGAACTTTAACGGTAAATGTAATGAATATATGCATAATTGAAAATGTTGGTGAAGTGCTCGGAAAAGTGTATCGAAATAAAAATTATGTTAGGTGTGATACTTTGGAAAAATTTCTGGAGAATGTACTGAAGTTAGTTAAGATTTATGTGAAAAATCCTGTTTAATTGATCTGATATCATCAAGATTATCGTCTACAATTTTTATTTCGATTAAAAATGCATTGTTTTCTAACTTCAATGCTCGCACGACAATACTTAAACTGTGGCTGATCAATCGTTGTTAAAAAAGTACGGAATTTCAGTAAGTGGAACAAGAGAGCCATTTTAGATTGGTGAAATTCAGCGGAAAAGTGCTGAGAATTGTTCCTGTTTCGCTTTCGAACGTTTTATTGACTGCAGAACATTTCAGGCCAGTCCTTGAAGAGAAACATTGCAGAGAAATTAACTTGTAATTATTATTGCACATCTTACGATCGTTTACTATGATACTGTCATTCGTTGACTATACTTCTTTACAAAAAATTCGCAATTATCACGACGATAACTTTTGTAAAATTAATTCGACCCTGAAGTAGATGTTCGATTCTTCTTACTCTAAATATTGATTACATTTCATTTATTTTTTTATAATGTATTGCAATCGCAAAGTGGTAAAAAGAAATATTTTCAACTCAACTATTAGTAGCAACGACACATTTGGTGTTTTTCAGTCACGGTGATGTCTAATTAATTAACAAAGTGTCTGTATACGCGAGGATGTATACCGTGTAACTCAATTTTCAAATAATGAATACCAAAGAAATTGATACTGAACGAGAGAGAGAGAGAGAGAGAGAGAGAGAGAGAGAGAGAGAGAGAGAGAGAGAGAGAGAGAGAGAGATTTCCTAGAAATAACTTTCTTTATGGTGTACTACTTTTCTCGAACGATAGATGGAAACTGAAATAATGTAAAGAGACGTTCGGTATCAAAAGAGCATCGATCTTTGGCGTCAATTATCACGAAAAGCATAGTGTCTATCCGATTGCTTCAGTCGTCGCTTGGCGTTATGAACCTACTAGGTAACCTGCCCCTCTGTACATACAGTAATATATATATATATATATACATATATATATTGAAACTTATATATATATATATACTGAATCTGTAATGAAGTGCACTGTAAGCGTTACTTATTCGTGTGAACACGGGCACGACTCCGAAGAAGATATACGATGTCGTTGTGTAATCGAAACAAACAAAAAATACCAAAAAAAAAAAAAAGTAATCATGTCTATCGAAGGAAATTGTACGATTGTATCGATCTAATCGGTGATAAATAAAATATGTGCTGTTGACACGGAAGTGTAACTGTGAACAGAATCACGAGCCTCTACGTTGATTTATTCCCGTCGCGATTCGAAACGAATGGCGGCGGACGTTTTCAATTTCAGCCTGGCTGTCTTATCCTTGGTTAGGTAAGCAACGATCTTTCCATCACTGGTCCCCAACCGTTCCCAATTATATTCGTTTGGGGTATCATCTGAATTAAAAACGAAATTTGCATTTTCTTGCTTGAATATACAAATCATTGCGGCAGATGGTTTAAAGATAAATCAAAAAGCAAAATGAGAGAAACGTGCAATTTTTTCTGGAACATCTTAATCGTAATCTGAAACGAGTAAATTTAACGAGATACGATGATAAGGTTGATTGAGAAAATTATATTTCTATTTTAATTTCCAGTTTAGAGCCAGAGGAGCAAGTATCTGGTGACCTAAGGGTAGGGCTGTATACATGGTATTCCCTCTGACTTTTTGATGATCTAGAACGACGTTTCGCGATGAATATTTTACACACACATTAACTAATTTTGTATCTACTACCGAAACTTTATTTATTTTTACCGACGTATGTATATTCCACCAGTTGACTTTATCTAACTAGATTTTCTCATAGACGGAACCAAACCAGAAAAATGCTGTAATTCACTTATTAAAAAGACGAAAGAAACTTCTTAGACAACCCAATAATAGAATTATAAAAAGTTATTCAAAAGTTATTCAAAAGAGAATGAAACATTGAAAGCAGCAAATTGGCCACCTGAAAGTACCAATTTAAATATTAAATGCACATGATCTGCAGTTTAATGACAACGTATGCGAGCTATCTTTTCGTCCAGGATTGTAGAGCCTCCGATCTAGACGTAGGTGGAAGCAGTGTTCGCTGGCGTGATAGCTTCTAGCTACCGGTGGCGAAACGGTGCAGGAATTTTAAGTGGCATCCATCTAGCGATCAGACTTCGTTAACCGTGCCTTTATGAGGGGATGATTAGTTTTTGAATTCTCGTTTCAACGTCGGTGGTAGCTAACAAACTTGTTAGAAATCACGGAACGAGACGAGATCAAAGCTGCAGGTCAACGGAGAGGGGAGAACGGAAACTGGGTTAGACGAACTATTAAAAGACGCCCGACATTTGTGCCCGTTTAATATTTTTATTCGAGCAGGCTCGCCAGTCATTTTTCCTTCGAACGAGCCGTTCTAGGTTAGAGGTTACCTCTCTCAAATTGTGATTAATTCAAACGATTCCAACCAAGATCTAACGAGGTAAAACCCCGACGGCGAAATTATTCTATCCTTAA